TTCTGAAGTTCAACAAGTAAGGCTCCCAGCACACTTCCGCACAGGGTTCCCTGATGGGCGTGCCTGTCGTTATTCGTTTATGAAGTTTAACAAGTACGGATCCCAGCACTGCCATGTTTTTGAAGTTCAGCAAGTAAGGATCCCGGCACACTTCCATACAAGGTTCCCGTGCGGCGTGCCTAACATGTACGGGTTTGAACACGCTTCCTCATTTGGGATATCATTTATAAAGTTTCACAAGTACGGATCTCAACACACTTCTGCATGTGCTTAAGCCGTGGATGGGCGTGCCTACATTGCTTGGAATGCAGCCAAAAATGAATTCGTTAGAAAGAGGACACAATATAATGTCCTATTTTAACGAATAACATGTTTTGTTGAAACATATGCATGGATCCATGAAAACAAACAAGATTGAATCGGAACATTATCATGTGAGAGATGAATAATATACATGAGTTAGACAACTCAAACATGTGTATAAAGCCATGAAAGAAAACAAGATTGAATCGGAACATCATCATGCGAGAGATGGATGATACACATGAGTGAGACTAGCTCAAACATGTATATGAAGCCATGAAAGCAAACAAGATTGAATCGCATCATCATCATTTGATAAATGAGCTATGCACATGAGTGAGACTTACTCAAACACATGCATGGAGCTCATGAAAGCAACAAGATTGAATCGGAACATCATCATGTGAGAGAGCTATGCACATGAGTGTGACTTGCTCAAACACATGTATGGAGCTCATGGAAGCAAACAAGATTAAATCGGAACATCATCATGTGAGAGATGGGCTATACACATGAGTGAGACTCGCTCAAACACATGCATGAAGCTCATAAAAACAACAAGATTGAAACAAAACATTATTATGTGAAGAAATTGACAATGCAAGAGGACAGGATCACCAAAACACGAGCATGAGTGAGAACCAAAGTAACGATTAATCCCCAAGTGAAGAGAGAGAAAAATTGTGAGGCGCTGTCAAACTTGAAATCACATGGTACAAAGTGATGATTTATCATGGGGTGAAGAAATTGTCATTATAAAGATACTTACTAATGAAGGAGTTACTTCCTACCTCCCCTATACTTGGGATGTCTTAGCTATGGAGAGAGGAAGGAAGTGAGGAGGGATGAGAGAAAAATATTAAACGAGGAGAAGGAAAAGAAGTAGAAGAAAAAGTAGAAAAAAAAGAAGAGAAGAGTAGGAGGATGATGAAGAGGAAGAAGAGATAGGAGAGGAGGAGGATGAAGAGGAAGGACATGAAGAAGGAGGAGAAGAAGAAGAAGTAGAAGAGGGAGAATGAGAAGAAGAAGAAGAAAAAGAAAAAGAAGAAAAAGAAGAGCATTTCTTTCTTGTTCTCACTCACCTCCTCTAATCTCTTAGTGTTGATTTGCCAATCTTGATGAAACTCTCTTTCTCCTTGCACATGTGTTGCCCAACTATGACTTTCTTTTTCCTTAAGCCCTCATGTTTTTTTTTTCCTTAGTCTCACCCAAGCTATGGCAAACCCTTACCACTAGGGTTATGGAGTTCTCCCCTCTAGGAGGGCTAAATGAACTCCTCTAAGCCCGCCTCCCTCTCCCATAGCCTGGGGGCTATGGCGGATCACCTCCTTGGGTCAGCACCACTCCCGGCAGCCTCAATGGTCAATCTCTTCCTTCAAGCCTCTAAATTGGCAGCAATTCCCTTCCTCTTACTCCAAGTGAGTGTAG